TTTTTTAAAAATGTGTTTGTTTAGTAACTATATTTTGAAAAAAGGAAAAGAATAACGATTTTCGGTACTTGTCAATTGACAGTGCATTCACTGTATTCAAATTTTCTTTTCGCTCAATGAATGTAAGAAAATAAGTAAAATATACAGGGTGATAGAGAATTTCAAGCTCTATCAGAATATAAAAATTACTTTTTTGAAAAATTAATTCTATAGTAGCGAAAAAGTTTTAAAACTAATTTTGGTGATAGGGACAAAATCAAGCCTGTGTGGATCTAGGCATGAGGGTACCTTCATTACACTCAATTATGTTTTGGTAATATGTATATTCAAAGGAAAAGGCAAATATACAGGCTGATAGAAAATTCCAAGCGCTTTCAAAATATATCATTATTTTTTTAAAATACGCGGCTATGATAACGATATCCCCAAAATACAGACTACAGCTTTTTTTTTTCAGGCGTATATGTGATAGTGTGTAAGATCTATTGTAGATATCATAGATATGTAAAACACATTTATTTGTCAAGAAATTCAATGCTTATTATAATAATAATAATAAATTAAGAAAAACGAATTTAAAAAAACGAAAAATAATGAGCGAATAGCACAAAGAAAGCAAAAAATAGGGCGACCGTAGAAAAAAAATAGAAAATTTTGTTCGAAATGAAGAAATTGGAGAATTTATTACTTTAGTGATTGGTTATCCCGCAAAAAAAATTATAGTTTACGAAAGATTTTTCATTTTACGTTCTTTTTATTGGTTTAATGAGGATAGAGAGCATATGTAAGTTCCACATTTCGGCCCCAAAGGAGCTGCGCTAACAAGCTTTTTGTTTTGATATTTGCAAACTAATACTCATTATGCATGAGCAAGCCTCGCCGATTTGTGTTTAGCTAAGAACGATTTTAATTAAAGGCACATGAGTTTTTAAAGATGTTGTATCATAATTCATCTCGAATGCAGTGTAGACAGATTGAAGTGCGTTCATCAAGAGAAGATGCTCATGAGCGTTCATATTTTAAAACCGTCTTTTTTAGAACATCAGTTTTTGTATTTTTGATTTTGGTATATAAATACTTTTGCAGCTCAATTAGTTGTCTACATTCGATGTTTGATTGAATTTTATAATGGCAACTAGATGGTATCTTCAAATTCAAAAAAGCTCGTAATATTGATAGTAACAGTGATGTCTAGCGAATTCTATAAATTGTAATTAATTAAATAGAAAGATAGCCCTACTATTGTTTAGCACATTCTGAAAATGACAGCTCATTAAAGTGAAGCAGTAAAACTCAAGATTTAGCGAACTCTATAAATTGCAGCTAGCTTAAAAAAATAAATGAAATTAAAAGTTGTATTAAAACCGCTCATGTTGATTAAAATGGTGTCGTCTACGATCCAAGAACAGACCTTAAGTGCTGTAAAAACGTGGTATTTACGGCAGTATACAATATCAATACGTTACCGTTTCAGTCCACATTTTACCGTATTATCTGACGCAGAAATACGGACCGTTGTGTATCCATTTCGTAAACAGGCCGTATATTGATGGAATACAATGCGTTATACTGTTTGTTAACGGGTCGTGCCTGCAACGTAAACCACCGTATCTCGGTGCATACGACATGATCTACTATCGTACTCCATATTATTAGTTCACTGAAGAAGGAGAGACTTAACAGTTTCCTCTTAACTTCTCCCTTACTCAATTAGTCCTCCAAAATATTTCTTTATCTGAAAGAACTTTTCGAAAGAATCACGTTTTGTGATTCTTTTCAAATTAAAAAGATTATTGCATGAAAAATAATTTTAAAAATTTTAAACTGAAAAATACGCCTAGAAAAATTATTAGTTTTGACCTAAATAAAAAAAGTTTATTTTAAAGCATAGTAAAAAAAGTTACAATTTGAAAATATTATTAGAAAAAAATTATTTTTAAAATGAAAAATACTTACGTTTAATTATTGCGTTCGATATCATGAAATAAACGAATTATTTCGGGAAAAAATAATAAATTCTGGCATTTCAAACAGTTATTCAATTGGTCCTAAATGAAAAATAATTTGTTTTCAAGTTATTGTAAAACATTTAAATTCGAAATTTTTTTAAAATAAACGCTTACATTCAACTACACCGTTCAGTTTTACCTAAATAAAATTATTTGCTTTAAAATAAATAAATACTCACAATTTACTAAAACCTTCGATTTGATCTAAATAAAAAAATAATTTATTTAGACAAAAGAATATTTACATTTACACGAATTTTTCGATTTATCATTAAAAATAATTTGTTTCAAAATAAATTAAAACGATTTAAATTTGAAAACAATTTTAAAAAAAGTTGTTTTTAAAATTCTTACATCAAAATACATTGTTTTATTTAATCCAATAAAGTATTTTATTTCAAAGTAAATTTAGAAAGATTTTAATTCGAACAAAAATTTTTTAAAAAGGAACACTTACATTTAAATACATCGTTGAATATGATCGAAATAAAATGAATTATTTTATTATAAATCAAACAAAATCGTAAAAAATACATTTGAATAAAATGCTCGATAGAATCTAAACAAAACAATAATTTGTATTGAAATAATTTTTAAAAAGTTCTCCATGTCGTCTTTTTTTTTTGTAAAAACCGCCAGTTGAAACGGTTTCCCCTTTTTTAAGGTCTTTTCCGCAGATATTTTTAATAAAACCATTTTACCTATGCTCGAAATGTCGATATTTATCCAAAAAATCGATTGTAATATAATATAATGCAGTATATTATGTTAGATAGCACTGTAATTTTCTCATTGGTTAGATCAGCTCACTAATCACTATTTTTTGTCGCGTCATCTTTATTTAATAATGAAACTCGAAAACTAAGCTAAACAATGGATATGGCTGTCACAGATGGCTTGAGCTCGTTGACAAGTATAGGAGGGACGTGATTTCGATCAAAATCTGACACTTTTCTAAGAGTTTAACAAATTTATGCATTGGGGTTTGTAAAAAATTCAAGCTTAAGAACCGCAGTTAATCGAACGCTTAACCTCTCAATTGACCGAACGGTAAACCAAGGTTAACCGCAGGTTTTAGACCGGTTTGAAGCTCGCGGCAATGATGTTTATTAGCTACTTTACATATCCTGAGTGCAACTACTTCAAATAGAACACACGCTTATATAGGAAAGAGAAAAGAGAGAGAGAGATGAACACAGGAAAGAACAATAGAGAGGGAAAGAGCAAAAGAAGTGACATCAATATCGGCACGTACGGCTTTCTTTACGTACCGTTAAGCGGTATCTGATAGTAGTTCCGTAATTCATACGTAAGTATATCATAGACTGATCTTCGTAAACAAAATTCTACGGAATGGCGTAAACATGCCGTTTTGTATCCGTTTACTGCTGTATACGTACCGTTTCATGTGACCTGGGTATAATCAGTAATTTTCTTAACAATTTCAAAACGAAAATTTGAGACTTAAGATTGTCTTCAATTTGAATAAATTAAATTTAAAAAACTACTGAAATTGAATTTTGAACTTCGATTTCATGTTCGCAAATGAGAAGACATGAAAGTGAGAAATCCACCCGTTTGGTGAAAACATGGTGGTGATATTTAACTTTTTCAATAAAATGACTGTTGGGCCTCCGTGTATTATGTATACATGAAATTCTAATGAAATCAGTCTCAATTATTCTGTAATATATAAAGCAGAAGCACAAATGGTTTTTGTGTGATGAAAACAGATTTATAGATGTTCGAATTATTATTATCTAAAGGTATTATTAACAAAAATATAGGTGAATACAATTGAAGTCAACTTTAGTGTTTTTTGTCAAATGTTACATTGACTAGATCAATATCGATATATAACTCTTATTTTCACGATCGGTATTGATTTACTTTGTTAGATCATTTGTAATGACTATAAAACTTGTTAATGCAATCCTATTAAAAGACAAAGTGTGAAACACACAACATCTGACTGTTGTAAATTTATGATATGTTGTCAGAAGGGTTAAAATAATTTTGTTTAAAAAAAACTCCAAATGAATAAATGCAAATTATAACAATTTTTATATTTGATATGCACACTCTGAAATCTAATTGTTTCGAAAGATACGTCTTCAATATATAAGTTATTTTCTTCTAATGACAATATATACGAAACATGACGTGAAAGGGGTCAAATATCTTTTTATTCTTCGTTTCGTCAGCTCAACCAGCATAGTAACCTTCTATACACATTCATTTTATTTTTCAGTGAGCTTCCTCATACAACATCCTTTCTCTCAACGAATTTTGGCATCTACTATTGCATTTCACTAAAGCTTAGAATTGAATGAGTTCATCATTTTCTATGGCTGTCCTATTGTGACTCTGCTAGATCAATAATACCACTACCCTACTGATTGACGCCTACAATAAGATCTTTTCTCTGCAATAACTATCAAAATTCGCAATATTTAGACGCGTTAGAATCTACAGAACTCCAGAATGTTCTAAATTCTGTTATTACTTATGCGTCTTTACTAGCTACTAGGGAAACGTATTCAATAATCAATCCTTGCCCTTCCTTCTCTCACCTCAGTTACTAGGATCTAAATAGGGACGATGGGGAGGGGATGGGGGTTACGTCGTTAGATTTGAAGGAGACGCAACTATCAAATATGCCAGATGCCACAATAACTTTGCTTTAAGCTTTCTCTCACTATTACTTTCAAAATATACGTGAGTTTCACAAACAAACACTAAATCCGAAGGTTTGTTATAGTAATAGATCAGTTTCGAAAGGGAATATTAAAGTTTTTTGAAGTCACAGATCATCAAAGAATTTTCAAAATCAGAAATTTCTGATTTGACTTGTTCAGTTCTAATAGAAAATATAAATTCAACAATTAATTACACATTTATTATAGATAATCTTATTATTATTTTTTGTTTCAGGATAATACATAAAAACTCTGCACATGAATGTAAAGACTACTGAAATATTTGAATAATTTATCGAAGATAATGTTTGTCAATGAATAATGGATAAATATATTTTGTTAGAAAATAATCTTCATTATACAAAGATAAATTTGAATGAAGACTTGTAGCAAGTGCTAATGGTATACTATGATCGTCAATTATTCGTTGATTTTGTTTTAGTTTTTTATGAGATTGTTTTCTTTGATGTAGATCAAAAAATACTGGTTGAAAATTATTTAAAAATAATGTTTCATCTGATTGAATATGTGTTAGATTAGGGAGAAAAGATGATTCATCATGAATATTTGATAGTGAAAATCCATTTGTTGTTGAAGATAAATTAGTAGTATTGATTATTGACAGTTTCTTACTTTGATCTACTAAAGTAAAAAAGGACATAATCTATAATTGAATGTATGAAATGAATACCTGAAGATAGAGTTGTAGCAATTTGTTTTGGGCTTTCACTAAGTGATGATTGTTTTAATGAAGAAAGTTCTTTTTTCTCATGTGATTGCTGTTGGAAAAATTTTTGTCCTGAATAATGAAATAGAATGTAATACTATTATCCATTTCAGAAAAAACAGTTATGATTTCCATCATTACAAAAAGATAATTCACGCGCATAAATTCTTGCTACTATTTGATTGACCAGCTTTGGGCCAATCAAATTTATTCTTACTGAACATCTTAAAAATGATACTCTGAACGCATTTTTCAGTTGATCTTGATTCTTACTATGATAAGTAGAAGGGAAAAGTTCTTCTCTTTCGATCCACATTAGACCGACATTGCTAACTTAGTCCGTTCAAGATTTATTAATATTTTCTTGAGACCGCCAATCTCAATCAATTGTCCTGAGACCATCGAAAAAAGCATCTAGAGAAGGAAAATTCATCATGGTGAGTCGAATGGCTATATTGTTTTTTTAATCCAAAATTACCTAACACTGTTATTTTAGCATTATTGAAGTTTGAAAAACTGTCGCTTATGTAGTATAATAAGTCTACACATCATAAATATTGAAATAACTGTGTCAGATCAATTTAAATTCAAAAACAAATATCTTCGTTCAACTCACCACGGTAAATTATCCATATCGCTATGTTTTTCGGGTCATCGCAGGTTAATCTGCTGAAATCGGTGATCTCAAGAAAATCATTATTATTCTTGAGCATCACAAACTAGCAATGTTGGCCTTTCATAGACTGAAATTTTAACAGTTTTCTCTATCTACCAATCATATTAATAATCCATATCAACTGAAAAATGGGTCTAAAATATCATTTTTAAAATGCTCATCGAGAATAAATCCGATGAATCAAGTGCTTGTCAATCAAATATCAGCACGTATTTATACGCCTCGATCTTGTCTTTATAATGATGGAAACCATAGCTCTCTATCCTGTTTCTACTAAAACTCATTCAAAAAATACCCATGGCTCTTCTTTTTTTTAATGAATAATAGTAACATCCGTTCTGAAGTAAAATTACTTAATGTCAAAAATTTGAAAACTTTCCCCAAGTTTGAACCAGTAGAATATAATACAACACTCAAGCACATAACACAGCAATGAAAACAATGGCGGTATCTGTGACCCGACTAAATTTCGATTTTCGCTTTTTCTGGGCAACTTCTCAAAAAGACGAATTATGACTTTCAGTCGACCAAATACGGTCAATACATCAATTTTTTTATTGGGGAGTTACCTAGTGACTTGTAAGTTTATAAAATGATGTTTTGACCATATTCGATCGATTGGAAGCCATAATTCGTCTTTTTGAGAAGTTACCAGAAAAAAGTAACGAGTAACTTTTTCCGCTACCAATTACTTGGTAATAACGGTAACTTCCCTCCCTTGTTAAAAATTAATCTAATTCAATAGATGGTTCTTATTATATGCATCCCATGAGATTGCAACTAGACAATAACTGTCAGTAGACCGTCCAGCATTGTGAAGAAATATGTAACATAGAACATTATTTGATTTATTCAATTTATATTACAAAACATTTATTTAGTAATCCTATGAAGAATAGTTTTCTGCGATGAACCGTAATATATAATCTTTCTATCATTATCCGTTGAGTCAATACGTCTAACGGATAGATAGTTTTTGACAAGATACAATTTAACATTATCGTCTACATAAAATTTTCAACAAACTGCCAACCTTGTCTTGACATCATTGAAATAAGGGTTATATCTTATTGGTATATTTCCATAGTCTTACAAAAATATATATGAGTAGTATCACGAAATATCAGATGTATAAGTGTGCTATCTGTCGAATTTAATTAACTTTGAATGTCCTCATAAAATATATTCGTCCTAAATTGAATCAAGCTTATCTCTACTTTATGACTCCGAAAAGTAATTTTTTCGAGCTCAAATAACAATTTTCTCATACCCAATGGTTGCGTTGAATATAATGAAGTTCGGTTATGCCTACAAAACATATCACGATTCATAAACATTAATGGTTCATGTAAACGACGACACAATGTATCAGTTAGTTGTTTTCCTAGATTAATTGTTTTTTTTGATTGATTTAAATCTATATTTATTGTCTGTAAATCATGTTTTGGTATCTCCGTTTGACAATAAGATGAACGAATCGGTGCAACAATAATATGCGTATCAATTGAACAACTATCTTTTTGTTCAGATGATGCTTGATTCATATTTTGATTTGATGATGAATGACGAGTTTTATCCGAAAATATAATCTTATCTTTACTAGAAACACAATAGTCGCAAAAAATACTATAAGTAGACGAAACCTATTTCAACATGAACATTCTACCTTGAAACTTCTATCGTAAGTATAACCTGATGAGCTCGGATGACAAGCATCAATTAATCATTCATTTGTTCATATCAAACAAACTTATCAATCAAACACTCTTTACATATTATCTTCTCCATCTCTCAACTATTTCAATGTGTGTCACTTTACGAAACACCTCATTCAAATGTTTAACATCGTAGCGATCTTCGTTCAAAATTTCGTAAGAAACCATTTTGAAATGCTTGAGATATGGCTGTCTCAATAAAAAGAAGGTTTGGCGAACAGCAAAACTTAATTTTCAGTCTAATGAATCTATTTCTGGATGGATTCAAAATTTATAGGACGTAGGGTCGACTATCGCATGACCTGGTAATTGTTTGAGTGTTGACTATCTGTGGTAGTCTTTAGAAGTACGAAAAAGGAACTTATGAAACCCTATAAAAAACAGTTTTATGGTGAAAACTAGTTGAATAGCAAAGAGAAACTTTCTGAAGTTGTATTTTCATTGACCTACTCAGGCCAATAATTCCAGTGCCTATATACATAAACATGCAACAGGTTTCTGTCGGGAAAATGCCATTTTTGACCGAAAAACTCAGCAAAATTGTAGGAACTTAGGACTATGAATCCGATAATCAGACCCAATGATCGGATTTCTCTAGTTCTGATCGTAACCGGGCAGAGCTGGCCACCAAATTTCTGATAACAAGTTCCTATCATTTTTTCGGTCAAAAATGGGCCCTATTTCTTGACTTAGTTACATTGAAAAACTTATTGGTTAATTTTTTTTATCATAAAATCTACTAACAAATACATGTATACCGAAGCGATTCAGGTTCATATACTGATTGTGCATCATATCAACAATTTCAAGATTTTCTTACATATTTCACTCGCTTCTTCGGCTGAATCAATACAATAAGATGTTGGATTCAGCAAGCACAACATTGAATAGGTATCCCGAAGTGCCTTCGAAAAATGATATTGACATAACATTGTTTTAAAATTTAAATTTTCTCTATGCATGTATTTGCTGAAAAGAAAACAGTATTTTAAGTACTACAAATTAATTTAATCGGTTTAGACGAGTGGATTTTGTGAAAAATAATATAACTAACAAGTTTTTTTAATATACGTCAATGAAAGTATAGCTCCAGAATCTTTCTCTTTGCCATTCAAGTATTTTTCACTATAACAATATAATTTATTGTGCTACATACACCGGCTTTTTCATACTTCTAAGACCACCACAAATAGTCAACGTCCAAACGATTGCTAGGTTTTGTGATAGTAAACTTTTATGATGACTCTATCGTGGCATATGTTAGAGCAATAGTTCTGATACCTTTAACAAACACTCTTGTATTTATAAATACTTCGCCCTGTGATTTGAGAATTCACCCCGAAAGAGATATATCTGGCTGAAAATTAATTTTCACTGTTCTTCAAATTTTTTTTATTTAGAAAGTCATGTTTCAACCGTTCTAAAATGATTTCTTACAAAATTTAGAGTGAAGATAGCTGTATTGTTTAACTTTTGAATGAAATATTGCATAACTTTGAAATGAAAGACAGAGTATAAATAGTATTTGATTTATAAGTTTATTATATGTTGGATAACAGAAAACTAGCCGATGCTTGCAATTAGAGTCCATCAATTTATATCTATGGTAAAAGTTTCCAGGCAAAATGTTCATATTGAAATACTTATTGTCTGGCAGAGGCATTGTTTTGGGGGCTACTGTAACATTCATTTGTAATTCTATATTTACCAATTACTTCTCCGTAATCGACAATGTCTTCGTTGATTACGCGCTTCAAATAACGACAAATCATATCTTGATAAATCTGAGTAATTTTTATTCTTAGAAATCAATAAATAATTTTCCATAGTAGATTTGTTGATAGACATCACATCCGCACTACTACTAGTCTGATTATAACTTAAGCCATATTCCAATTCTTGTTTTACATACATTAGAATTTGCCAAAGACATTTAAAGAATAGTTCATAGATAATTTGCATACACCATATGGAACTTTCGTATAGAGTAATAAAAGCATACGCTAAACAATCATCATTATTCTTAAAGCTGAAGATTAGAAAAAAGACTTTATTTAATTTTTTTTGTAGAAAAATAAACCTACGAATGAGATTTAATCTTATTTTGATAAGTCACTGAATTATTTGAACAGGTACATGTTGAACAAGAACATGTTTCTTTCAATGTCATTTGTCGAGTAGAAAGACTTGAAACATCAGTTAATGATGTTGTCATTGATATATTTAGAATTGAATTTGATTGTCAATAAGATAATTTAGATGATAATCTTAATAAACTATCGATCTTCATACTTTTCATTAATTATTACATTCGATAAGCGTTCTGATTAAGAAAATAGAAAATTTCATATTGATACTTTTATTATAAATAATTTATGTCACAAATGATTATGAAAATGGCGCCGGATATTAATTTAAGAATATCTTCTCGTTATTATTATATCTATTTTTTTATTTAAAAGAATGATATAAAAATATTGACAAATAAGCAACGAAAGCATCATCATTATAATAATCGTCAACAATTGCAAAATTTGTCATATCATAAAATCAATTAAAATATTTTGAAACAAAATCAAAGTCGAAATATTCGATAACATGTTGTATAAAATGTGTTTTTTTTATAAAGATTAATTTGCCAAAATCATGAAATGATTATTCATAAAAATGGTAAATCAACAATTCTTCAATATAAACAAGATATTGTCCTTGTCAATGAATTTTCTTCAATTATTTGACCTTCGGATTTCTTATCATCCTATCAGTCTGTTGTCATTACATTCTCAAATAGCATCAGCATCATCAATTATTAATAAAATGTCAATAAATATATCTGAACACAGAATAATAAATAAAAGAAATGATAATGAAAGATAAAGTTAAAAAAAGGAACCAAAGCGCAATTAAATCATTTTTTATTATTATTCAATTATCATTTGAATGATTTTGGTCCGTTTAATAATAAGAAAAAAGAATGACATGATATTGTGAAAGAAGTAGATTTATGTATCTTTATATTATTTTTTAAAGCTATCTTTTTAGAATAATTGTCTTCAACAATAATGAACTTCGTACTATGAATTGTATTCAAAGTTTCTGAATAATTACTCAAATATACCTTGTCATATTTAGTTCGATATTAAAAAAATTATTTTTGTTTCCTCAATAGAATCAATTACTTATGCAAGAGTTAAATGCGTTTATGTTTTCATAGAAATTCAATTAAAAAAACAAAAACAATCAATAAAAATGATAATGTTAAATTGTCTTATGATTTACTATATGGATATAATTCTAATATTAGAAAAAAAATAATCATAGCATGAGTATTGGCTTTTTTGGATTCGGTATTATTTAATCATATATTTATATTTTTTCGTTTTGTTTTTCTATTGAAATACTGAAATAATTATTAGTATTGATTATCTCATTTTTCTCTCTTGTTTTATTATCAATAAAAGCAATGTAGATTGAAAGAATGCTGAATGAGACTAGTGTAAATCTGTTGTTAGTTTTGCTATTGCTAGTGTTGTTGTCGTCAACCTTCAGTGATCTTATTTCATGTACATAGAATAGAATTGATAAGAGAGATTTTTCTTCCCCGGATGATTACTATTACTTGTTTTTTTTTCTTCCTGCTATTGGATGAAGAAGAATGTCGGTACACATATGCTTATTTCTATCGATGATATACGAGCATATACACAGTGATAATTATCAAGTCTACTTAGAAGAAAAAACAAAGGTCATCATTTATTATTCTCTACTCCGAAAAAAAAACAATTGTTTATAATATTATTAATAGTTCAATGCATACGATGACGTTAGCAACTGTTGAACATAAAAAGAACCATAGATTTATCATCATAAGGTTGTTAATGTCTTTTTTTTTCTTTACTCAAGATATAACAAACAATAAAATCAAATCTTGCAATGAGTATTGAATAAAAGAAAAAGGAAGGAAAAAAGAAAAAACAGGTTTGAGAAAGAAAAACGAAAAAAAAGAAAAAGAGTATATAGGCTTGCTAAAGGTGTTTTTATTTTGACACGAATGAGAGAAAAAAACGATTTTTTTTTCTTGTTTATACATGAAAAAAATGGACACTTGGATGTTAAAAGTAATGACTAGTTTCATTTATTCATCTTGAGGAGCACCAGCACCAGGTGGTGGAGCATAGTTTGGCTTATTGCTATTATAAGGAAGAAATAAGTAAATAGAAAAAATATATAAAAAAAACTTACGTCATCTCAGAGCCACCTTTGTTTCCTAAGTGTTCACCAGTATCCATACCTAATGTACCGGCTCCTTGACCGAAACCATAACCTTTTGGTCTAAAAAATTTTTTTTTATCTCGAATCTTTCTTTTTTTCTTTCAAATAAATACAAACCCAAATTTTCGTCCATAACATTGTTTGCAATAAACATTGCCTTCATGTTCGGCCATGGTCATTGCTTCTAACATTTTCTTACAAAGACCTTTTTCAGATAAAAGAAAAAATTTAAAAGAAAAACTAATAATAATTTATATTCAACATACCACATTTAAAGCACATTTTGTGCCATTTTTTTCCAGCTGCAGGAACTTCTTCAGCAGCATAAACATTTTGATTACATTTTGGGCCTATGAAAAGAATCAAAATTTAAAATGAATTTTTTTTCTTTGAGCTTACATTTTGAAGCTTCTGGCGGTTTGAATGGCATGATTATGACGATTTACAGACGAATATGATCTGAAAGAAATTTATATTATATACAACACCTGATTAGAATTTTAGTCACACTCATCACAAATAATATCATATTCTTCATTTAAAACAACAAAAAAACT